TCTCAGACCTTTCTGGCACACTGCCTTCTTTCCAGTGGCTTCCTTGCACCCAAGGCTTGATGCAGATTCTGACTGATGTGACAACAGTCCTCTTTGCCTGGCTTCCCCTTTGCAGGAGAGTGCTCAGGTCTCAGAGCCTTGCTGGGGCCTCTACTTAGGGTGTGCTGTGCCCACCAGTGCATCCAGCATTCTACCTTGTGCTGCCCTGGGCCTCTTGGGCGGCTGCTCTGAACCCCTCCTGTGCTGTGCACCGGCCTGCAGCTCTGTCCCTGAAGGCCTCAGCTAGCATGCTCACCTGAGAGGTATGGAGCTTGGCCCAGTGTGGGGAACTGAACTCTTCCCTTTTGGATGGTGCAGTTAGTGCCAGGGGCCTGGCACCTGAGACCAGGTGGTCTTGGGCTGATGGTGACTCGTCAGCCTGCCATGCTGGGCCCCTGTGATCACAAGCCAGTTTATGGAGGCTTATGAGAGATGACAGTGTTTGAACACGGGTATGGGCCCTTCAGGGGCTGGCCACTGTTGATGCCAGTTGCCATAGGATCAGCCTGCTGTAGTGCCTCTGGGAAACTACTGGTGGGGGCCTTTTATCATGAGGGAAAGCTGTGCATACTCTCCTGCAAGATAGATCCAAGTCATCATGGATAGAGTAGCACTGTCCCCTCATGAGGCTGTCTGGACATCTGCAGTGTGGCCTGTGTGACCAAGACCTGAGCTTGCTGCTTACTTGCAGTTTCCACGGAGATAGCTGGTAATAGTGGACAGCACAGGTCTAGATCAGTAGTTCTCAAGTACCACCAACCCTATTGACCGAAGGAACATTTGTCATCACTGAGGATTTGGCTTGTCACCATTGGGAGGGACTCTAGGCAACTAGTGGGCAGGGGATGGAGGTGCTGCTGAGCACCATATGTACCTGGTCCAAAGTGTTGCGACTCTGTGTCACTGCTGAGGCTCATGCTGGGCATCCACCCCATAATAAGACTGGGACCTGGAGTTGGCTGTGGGACAGAGCTGTGCGCTGAGGGTGTCTGCCTCCTGACTCTGGCCGCTGCTGGGACCAAGGTGTGCCACCAACGTGTTTCAGTTTGATGTCGTGGCTCCTCTAAGTTATCTGGCTTTCCTCAGTTGTTGCTGACGCCCAGGTTACCCCAAGACTACACAAGAAGCACACCAGGCCCCCGAGAGGCTGGGCGGCCATTCGGAGCAGTGCTGCAGCTGCTGCCTCTTGTGTACCTGCAGGCAGGAACAGGGTCCCACAGGGGTGCAGAGGAGCCTGGGCAGCCCTGCTCGGAGAGCCGCTTCAGGCTTTTATTCCAGATGTCTTTTCCTCGTCCCCGCAGGCTGCAGAGGCTTTGTGCTATCACTGTACTTCACCCCGGGGCTTTCCCGGGCATCCTCTGGCTTTTGGATCCTTTCTAGAGCAGCTGTGTCATTCTTCCTTCAAGCTCTGAGGCGTGTTCACAGGGTGTTCCCTAGCCTGCTGCACCAGGGTCTCCTGGGCTCTGGCAGCATGGCATCAGCAGGTGGCGCTGTGGCACCAGGGTCAGCTTGCCCACCAAGGAGGGAGAAAGCTTGTGTCACAGCCCATCAGTAGGAATGTCAGCTCACCTGCCAGCCTGCAATGGCCACACTCAAGGGCCAGCCATAGGAGATCACAGGGACGTAGTGCTCCTTTTCTGCTTCCAGTTAAGCCCACACAGCAGGCTTTGTACAAGCCTGTGGGCCATCTCTCCCACTTGCTATGCTTGGCTCTGCTTCTTCAGAGCCCAGAAAGAGATTCTGTTTCCCCTGCCTTCTCTTATTTACTCAACCTTTTGTAGAAGTACGATAGCCCTGCTCGGCATCCAAGAATATTTTACCCAGAAAGCCGAGTCAGGTTCAGGTATTTGTGGCTGCGTTTGTCTGCCAAGGACAGATACATCTGACTTTCATTATTATGTTCTTCCACTGGCCTTTCCCTGTGTCATTGGATGAAGTTTAGCAGGACCCCAGGCCATGCCATCAGTGACTGCCAGGTACCATTAGAAAATTGTGTTGGCACTGGGTTTTTCCTTGTGCCCATTAAGCAAACACTTTAGAACAGTTATATGGGTGGCAGTCCCCAGGAGCCATAGTAAAGGCTGCCAGCAGGCTGTATGGCCTGAGATGGGGGCCGTGGTGATCATGTCTACAGGCTGGCTTGTGATGCCTGCCTGCACCCGCTGAACCCAGGCCTGGAGGACCTGGCAGGTCCTGTGGAGAGCAACGCACAGTGAGGGGGGCGGGGGGGTCTGGGCATGTTCCATGTGCTGAATGCCAGGGATCCTTGGGGGAGTCTCAGGCCCTAAGGAAGCAAACAAGACAGGCTGGAGTGGGTTGGCCCCTAGCTCGTGCTGCTGAGTCGCCTTTCCCACGTGCCTCTCAGCTGCTGCTGCAGCACCAGCCTGGCTTGCTCACCGCCACGGGGTGGAAGCCACACCTTCTCTGGACTGGTCTATGTCTCCTTGCTAGATAGACTGGCAGGGCTTGTCCCCCTCGGGGCCAGGCTTTGGGTGCTTGGGGTAGGGAGGAGAAAGGACAGGCTTGGGCCCTGCGAGCAGCCTCTGACATGTCCCCTCACCTTCTGGAAAGTGCTTCCTCTCCAGGGTGTGGGATGAGGGCACCTGGAAGGCCCCGTTTCTGGGTGCCAGGTATGGGGGCGGAGCTGTGTAAGGCCTGGGCTGGCCTGGTGGCGCCTTGGTTTGGTAGGGCTAACACATGGGGCAGGAGGTAGAGCCTGCACAGCTCTATGGTGTGCACAGGACCCTCTGGGGGTGCCCAGAAGGTGCTCTCAGTGGGGCTTGGGTGGCACAGTGGGAAAGGCTTTCTTGAGGGGGTAATTGAGCTGGGGGGTGTATTCCAGGGATAGTCAGGGCTTGATGTTACCTGATGTTGGCACCACTGCAGGCCTGGCAGGGGGTGTGTCCTCTGTCACTGATGGCAGGAGGTGCCTACATGTGGCTTGCCTAGAGTGGACACGCAATGCCCCATACTGTGGCTTGGGCTGAGGAAAGAACAGAGTCCGGGACATGGGTGTTTGGCATAGATCGGAAGAGAAGGCCTATTTGGGATAGGCTGAGTTGGGAATGTAGGGCCATCTAGGAGCCAGTGACTGGCAGTTGTACATGAGTGTGGGTGACAGCTGAACTCTACCAGGGTGAGAAGGGCAAGAAGAGGGTGCAGAGCAGATCCTGCTGAGCAGTGGGCATGGGGGATGGCCTGGCAGGTTGACGGTCCAGAACCAACTTCAGGCAGGTTGGAGGCTGTGAGCCAGGTGGTGGGGGTTCTTCCCTAGAGGCCAGCCAGGGTGCCCAGCAGGTATGGAGTGTCTGTGGCGGTTGGCCAGAGGAGGTTCTGGAGTTGGGGCCTGTGAGCTGCAGGCTGCGGCTGGGGTTGCGAGTGGACACTGCACAGGGCGTGGGCTGCGCTCTCCTTGGGCCCATGCTGCACTGTTGCCCTCACCCCAGCACCATCTTCCCCTTGACAGTGGCCAGCTTCCCTGCCAGTGGTGGCCTGCCTGGATAGCCAGGCAGCAGCCCTGGACATTCCCCAGCAGCTGCCTGCTCAGCCTGCAGGGCACAGGGTGTGGGACTGGGCATGGCCAGGAATGAAATCAAGTCCCACCTGCCCAGCTCTGCTGGGTCTTTGTGCTGGCTGCCCCGCTAGGTGCCATACATGCCCCTCCCCCACTTCCAGGCAGAAGGAGGGGCTTCTCCCTCTGCTGCAGAATGCCCAGGGCCTGTCCCACTTTTCGTGCCTTTTGGCCATTCCCCTGTGAGTCAGGTGGGTGGCTTGCAGCGGCTCTTCTACCTTAAGGGCTTGGCTCGGTGGGGGGCAGGCTGGTGGGCAGCAGGGCTGAGGCAGGGAAACCTGAGCCCTAGGCCACGAGGTCTGGGCCGCTAATTTTAGAGAGCACATGTCATTGGAAACTCTCCTCTCTTGCCAGGAATCCATGGCCTGGCTCTTCCCGTGCCACCAGGGGCCCCTGGGAGCTCCTCCCCAGACCAGGAACTCTGGGGGCCTCTCTACCCGGGGTGCATAGCCTGAAAGGGGCTCTGCCGGGCCCTGAGAGCCTGGCTTAGGCCGAGAGGAGAGTGCACCAGCTCTGCTTTCCGTGCTCTGTGCCCATCCATCTCATCAGTGAGGAGGGCAGAGCTTGCCAGGGCCTGGTGGGGCCAAGAGGCTGTTTTGTGTGTTCTGAGCAAGCACTCTTGAGGAGCTGTGGAGCGAGCAGATTTCTTCCTTTTTCCTGACCTGACCCTGTTTGCCATGGCTGCTCTGGGCTCCTTCCTGGCCATCTTGCCTGCCTAAGCAGTGCTTGTCCCAGGGCTGCATGGAAGGTCCTCCCTACTATCCCTGCAGTGGGTCCCTGGGCCCTGGTTCTTCCCTGTGTGTCCCCTCTGGCCCGTGAGGGTCTCCATCTGAGCACTGTTGGGTGACAGATGTATTGGGGAGGAGTTGAGAGAGAAGAGGCCTTCTGTCTGTGGTGCACCATGACCAGGAGCTGAGCAAGCAGTGGTTCCGACTGTGGGCTGTGGAGGCACAGACGTCACCGTGTCTGTTTCCGGCCTGGACCTCAGCCACATCACCATCCCTTGCTGAGCACCAGTTTCCTCCTTGTTAAAATGCAGGCAATGATAGCAGCTACCCCTGAGGTAGATAAGAGGATTCGGCTGGCATGTAGTGAGCGCCCACACCTGTCAGCCACTGTTTTGGTGAGGCAAGCCTGGCCTCGCAGGGTGGGGCGCAGTGCTGAGGCTTGCCTGGCATGTCCAGGCCCCGAGCAGGAGAGTGCTGACGTTGGGACTTTGTGGTGTCCCTGGGCTCCTGCTCCTAACCCCCACGCACACATCCTCTGGGTGACTGGGGGGGGCCCACCTTTCCTTGGTATTGCCAGGCAGGCAGGCAAGTAGGGTGGGAGCGGCTGCGACGAGCCTGCCAGCCAGGGTGTCCTTACCTCTTCTTTCTATAAACAATTGCAGCCTGCTTAGACGCCTGGTGACTCTCATCTCCCAGCAGGCCACACTGCTGGCCTCCAATGAAGCCTTTAAGAAACAGGCAGAGAGTGCTAGTGAGGCGGCCAAGAAGTACATGGAGGAGAACGATCAGCTCAAGGTGAGCCCTGCTTGCCCAGCGGCCCTGTGATGCCTGCACTGCCGCGCCAGGCCACGCTCCCCAGGGCCACCAAGAGAATGCTGCTGCCCCAGGAGCCCCAGAAGCCGTGGAGCTGCAGCTGAGTGCAGGCGCAAAGGGGATGGGAGCACAGCAGGGGTGGGCGTGGCTACTGCTGTCTGGGCCCATCCCGGGGCCCCGCCCCCTGGGAGAAACCTCTGTTCTCCCACATCTGTCTCAGAATGCTGGAGACCAGCGCGTCTCTGCTAGGGAGCAGGTAGGGGTGGAGTTGTGGGCCAGTCCTCGAAGGCTTGTCCCAGGAAGTGAGGTGTGAGCCAAGCTTGGAAGGAGACAGACAGACTGGAAGTCACAGGTGGGCGCAGCTGGATGGGCTAGGCACGTTTGGAGCCACTGGCTACAGCAAACAGCCCAAGCTTAGGTAGGAGAGGTGACAGTGGTCACTAGGAGGTGGATGGCAGGCATCTTCATGTTGAGTTGGCAGATGAGGCGGTAAGCTCCATGGAGTTACAATCTCGCTGGTGAGGAAGGAGGCAGGGCCTGCAGCCAGGGCAGCCAGGGTATGTGGCCTGTGAGCTGCAGCAGGTGGCCCTGCTGGCCCTTGCCTGGCCCTCGGCAGCCAGCCACGACCTGGCCTTCACTGGGAGTGAGCAGTGGCCCAGTTCCGTGTTGATGTTTCTGCAGCGGCGAGTGCCCAGGGCAGCTTGAGCAACTGCAGCTTGGGCAGGCCCAGGCTGGAGCCTTGCCTTCCTCCCGAGTGACCTGGCCATGGTGCTTTTCCTAGGGAGCTGCTGGGGACCGAGGCAAGCTGGAGACTGGAGATTCCGCGGTGAAGGTGGAGGAAGAGAACAGGAGCCTGAAAGCCGAAGTGAAGAAGCTGAAGGATGAGCTAGCCATCTCTAAGCAAAGTGAGGCCCGCTCCTCCGAGCCCCAGGGACAGGCTCAGGCACAGGCTCAAGAGCCGGGCATACAGCTTGGTGGCCTTAGTCTCAGGAGCTGCAGCCACAGCACAGCCAGGCGGGCTCAGGCATGGACAGGTTCCAGAGAAGTCCTGGCAGCTGCCTGTGTGCTGTGGTGGGGAGCCCCGGATGCCCTGGAGCTGAGAGCGAGGGGAGTGTCTGGAAGGGAGTGGAGAGGAATTTGAGGTGGTTTTATTTTGGAAAATCTAAGCCAGCTCTCCACTGGCCTCCCTACTCCAGTCGGAGCCCAGACAGCCCTCACTCGGCACCTCACTGAGGCTGTTGTTGCTCCGCACAGCATCCTGGAGATCGCGGGGGTCTCGCTTTGAGCAGAGATTTTACTTAGTCTCCCGTAGCCTCGCCTAAGGTCCCTTCTGCTGAGAGCCACTAGGGTTTGCTTCATGAGGGGGACCAGGGGGCCCTCTGTTGTTTCGCTTCATTGAGCAGTTTGATCATCCCAGGACACGGGCTGCAAAGGCAGTGCGCACCACTCGGAAGCATTGCAATCCCACCAGATGTGGGTTTGGGGTGCTTCCCCAGTCTTGAGACAGTGGGCTTTCTTGCTCTCATTCCAAGCCTCCCATGTCTCCCTGCCTTCATTACTTGCATTATTTCCAGAGCTCGAGAAAGCTGAGAATGAGGCACTGGCCATGCGGAAGCAGTCTGAGGGCCTCACCAAGGAGTACGACCGCCTGCTGGAGGAGCACGCCAGGCTTCAGGTCAGTGACTGGCTCAGCCGTGCAGCGGAGCCCTACCATGTGGGTGGCGCCGCGCCTGGCATTGCTGATCAAGTCCCTCTGTGGTCTGGGCCTTCCTACCCTTGTGCCAGCCTTAGGGCCCTCCAGGCCACCTGGGGACCTCTGCTGGCCATGTCAAGGTCCCATGGGACTGGGCATAAGTGGTCAGTCACCTGAGCAGCACCCTGGCTTGGGCTGGCCAGGGGTCATCAGACGCACACGGTGGGGAAATCAGCCTGTATAGCTTGTGCCCGTAACACTGGCGGGGGTGTTGGGCAGGCCTGGCTTTTGAGGACCTGTGGTGGACCAGGACTTCAAAGTCAGCCTGCTGGGCGTCCGGCAGTCCCAGCTCTGTCTGGCTGCCATAGAAAAGCCAAAGCAGAGGCCCTTGCCGCTCTTCCATCCCATGCCACCCTACCAGGCAAGAATAGCCCTTCCCAGGCTGGCCCTGAGTTCAGGGTGGCTGAGACAGTGATACACCCACTGGGCCTGCCTTCAGCACTTCTGGGGGTACAGTTCCTTGTTTGCTCCCCAGGCACCTGTATTGAGCTGAAGGGACTGTGGTGACATAGGGCTGGAGGCTGGGTGCAGGTGGGGCCCTCCCACTGTTGCCTGGACTTTCTATCCTTTCACAGGCTGCAGTAGCTGGCCCCACGGACAAAAAGGAGGAGTGACGCTGCCACCTCCCCTGCCTGCGCTAGCTTCTCCCAGGAGCTCAGCTTCTCCCTCTGGCCCTTGTCTCACTTCTCCACAGCTTCTAGCAGTCATCTCTGTCCCCTCCACAGTCACAGTCTGCTGGCACACCACTGGGGACCTGATTGTCACTCATTCACTTGCCTGCGGGGAGTGTGGAGGGCCCTTGTTCCTGGCCTGCGTCTGAGCCCTTTAGCTCTGCTATGTTGACATGTTCTCTAGTCCTGCGCGAGCTCCCTGCGGCAGGCCCACTGGTTTCTCTTGCAGGCAATAAAGTTGTTGTGATGTGCTGTGACCTGGTGTCTTTGCGTGGTAATCGTAGCAGGGAGGTCCTGCTGCCTTACTGCCTCAGCCCCTGGAGGGGCCCTGCTGCCCTCCCCTCCGCTCCACCTCCCCTGGCTGGGACAGGCCCAGCTTTATGGCTCCTGGGAGTGTCAGGCCTGTCAGCCTCCCTGGGGAGCTCAGTAAAGCTACAGGACTTCCTGGTGGCAGACGTGCCTGCCTCCTCTTCTCATGGGGATGAGGAGAATGGGCTGGGAGAACGTGGCAGCAGGCCACCAGTCACTCCTTGCCCCACCCCCTCAGGTTTGCCGCATGACCTCTGACTAATGCCGACTGGGAGAAGAGACTCGTCCTTGGCACTGACCTAGCTCTGGCCCAGGACAGGGCAGGGCTGTAGAGAGGGGTGTCACAGGCACCCCAGGCACAGGTGTGCCATTGAGCATTGACTTGCCAACCCCAGAGTGTGGTGCAGGGCGAGGGGAGCAGTCCTGGCTACCAGTACCTGCCCCTGGGGGGCACTGGCCTGCTTGGTACCTCCGGAAGCCTGGGGGCCAGGTCAGGTCAGGGAGCAGGTTAGAGGTATGTCTTGGAATTGGGGTGAATCCCAGTGTTGATGACCCTGGTGGGCAACTGACTGAGCTGTGTAGTCCTGGTCCTGCCTGCCACATGTGGGCCTGGCCAACAGCTGCTTCCTCCAGCTACCCTTCCCCACTCCATGAGCACCGTCAGCTCCTGGGGAGGCCTCTCCTGTCCCAGCTGGTGCCCGTGGGGATGGGGGACACTCAGGTGACACCCTCTGCTTGCCCTGCTGAGGCCTAGGCTTGTCTGCTTTTCCAGGAAGTGTTTCAGGGTTACCTTGGGCCTCCCTGAGCCCTCATGTCTGTGCTGACCGGGCTAAAGTCCAGGCAGCTTGTCCTGCTATTCCTAGCACTGGCCAAGTCCCTCTTTCGCCCAGCTTTTGGAGGACCCCATGTCACAGAGGGACAGGAGGGACTAGAGTGTTCCCCTGCTATACTGGGGGTGGCTTGCTGGCCAAAACTACTTGTAGACCTCTGGTGCAGGAATGGATTCCTGCTTCTGTTTAATTGTCTTTTTGGGATGTCATTAGCAGCAATGTGGCAGGTGGCTTTGGAGGGTATCAGCCTGGAGGCAAGGAGGACAGCAGAGTGAGTTCTCATCCAGGCTGGAGTCCTGGCCAAGAACTGTGGCATCAGTGTGAGCAGGGCGGGGTTGTGACGGAGGGCTCAGGAAGGGCAGGCGGGGACTAGGGAGCGGCCAGCAGGCCTGGAGTGAGGGGGCATCTGTGGGGCCTCCTGCCTGCCTGGGGTGACGGCTTCCCTGTGCACGTGCCTCGACCACAGCCACCTGCGCTCCACTGTGCCGTGGCCTGCCCTCGGAGACGTGTTTGGATGTCTGTGCCCCTGTTCCCTTACTGCGTGGAAGCACATGAGTACATGCGTGTATGCATGCCTGCATGTTTAGGAACATGAGTGCATCATCTCCGTGCGCACCCTTCCTGAGCTGGAATCGCTGTCGGTGCCCTCCTCAGCCCTGGTGCCCACCAGTCTCCTCTGCCTAGGTGTGCTTGGCTTCGCTCACTAGGTGTCACTGACTCCAAGGGCTGCCTGTGTAGCTTTCCTACGGCTGAGTAATATCCGGTGGCAGGACGCAACCATCTGGCAGTTTCCTCATCTGTCCGAGGACACTTGAGAGCCTCCCAGCTGTTCTCCTGGACCCTCTGCGGCCCAGCCCCTCCATCCTGTGGTGTTGGCACCCGCGCCCTTGCCCCGATCTCCCATTCCTGTGCTCCAAATTTCTAGCTCTGGGACAGACTTTCCAGAGCTGCAGGCTCCTGTGCGTCCACCTGCCAACTAGACATCACTTAATGGCACTTCTGGGGTGACACAAAGCCAACTTGGATTGTCCCCACTGCTGGGCCTGGCAATGCCATTCGTCCAGTGATCTCTGGTGTCCTTGACCTCTCAATCCTGCATCCTGGTCCCCTACAAGCCCTACTGATTCCTTTCTCCAAGTAGATCCAAATTGGAAGCTGCCTTGCCCTTTCCCATGGCCCCAGCCTGCCCTTCTGCCTCCCTCCCCTGCAATCTGGGAAGGTCACCTGCTCAGTGACGTGTGGGGGAACGCTTGTTCAAACTCCAGTGCCCATAGGGCCCACCTGGAGTTTCCTGGTCCCACCGCATCCACCTTGGGGCAGTGCCCCGCGCGCTCCTGGGAGGCCTTGCTTGACGCACCTCCTGCACCCCTCCCTGGGAGCAGACCGATGCCAGAGCCAGCTTTGGAAAATGACGTGTTTTTATTGCTATGTTTGCAGTGGCTTTTTAGCACAGTAAGAACGTCCTGCAGGCCCGCGTCCTCCCCGGCCCCGCCCCTCGGCTTAGGTCTCCATGTAGGGGAGCCTTGGGGGCCACTGCCGTTCTGGGCTTGACGGGACATGGACGTAGGTTAAAGCTGCTACACGGAAGACTTGAGGTGCAGAAAGGGCATCAGCCTGAAGCTTGGCAAGGGGAGCCCAGCCCGGCAGGCAGGGTGTGGGCAAGCCTGAGCACGCCAGGACCAGGTGTGCGGCCAGGGCCACCCTTGGGCCGTGTGCCTTCCCACCCCAGGCTGGGGCTGGGGTCGCACACGTGCATCCACACGAGACTCGCACGCTCAACAGCTTGAAGCTTTGTTTTGCCTATGAAAATTAGATCTATAAATTCACACTCCTTGGCTAGGGAAGGGAGGACTGCGAGGGAAGGGAGCGCTGAGGGGAGGGATGGTTTGGGCTCTTCTCTTTAGAAATATACAAGCGGGAATCTCACACTCCTCAAGTTTTTATAAAATGTGCAAAATACAAGCCTCCTTTGCCCAGAGGCACCATTTACATCTGGTATTGGCCTTTGCTGAGGGAGACGTAGGCATCCTGTACACACTCACGCACACACTTGTGCACTCTGACCCAAGCTGGAGCAGAGGAGTGGCGGCGGCTGGCACAGGGAACTGTGAGCCGGAGGTTCCATCGTCCCAGTTGTTGGCTGGCTCTCAAAGCTTTGAACAGGCGCAGGGAGCAGGGCCTAGTTCAGCGGAAGCACTCGCCTCCTTCTGCTGTCCCCTCCCGCGCCTGCCCCTCCTCTTCCCCAAGCTGCTACTGCTGCAGCCTAGGGGAAGGGGCCACCCTAAGGTCACAGAGCAGAGCCTCTCAGGTGGCTGGTGGTGGCTTGGGGAGGAGGTGGGGCTGGGGAGCAGTGCAGGGGATCAGCTTGGCTAGGGCCAGGGGAGAGGCATCTATTTTTGGTGGATTGTGGTATTTTTGGCGTTTTATTAAAAATGGAAAACGTTTTAGTTAGCACTCACGGTGCATCCTCCTGTCCCCACCCCCACCCCCAGCAGCCCCTCAGAGGGGTGGGTGGCTAGGGCTCAAGCAGGGGCTTCTATGGCTACCAGAGGGGGAGCTGGTGATGTGAGCTGGGGTGTCACATGACACTCTCCACCACAACCACCTTGCTGCTCTCAGACACTGGGGTCAGGGTGGTCAGGCCCCTGACATCCGCATCCTGAGCTCGGTACTCCAAGTGGTGGAGGCCCCAGACAGGCTGGGTCAGGTGCTGCCAGCGCTGTGGGAGGAGAGGAGAGGAGGGGAGAGGGGAGGACTTGCCTGTGGCCTCTTCCACGCCCCAACTCCCGCCCCTGGCAGGTAGGGTGGGTGCATAAGTGCTCACCTCCGCCATGGTCCCCTTAGCCCTGAGGAGGCAGCCCAGCAGGTGCAGGGGCACACACAGCATGGACGACAGTGCGAAGGCCCAGCCTATGGCCTCGCCCCACCATGGGTACACGTAGGTATTGTTGTAGACCAGCGGCTTGTAGTACACTACGTTGAAGATGAAGATGCCCTGTGGGCGGCACCGTGTGTCAGCTGGGCCTGAGACCCCCTCACCCACCTGGCTCCCACAGCCCTTACCATGCAGACCAGTGGCGTGAACAAGGACCAGCACCATTTCATCCAGGGACAAGGCCGGTAGCCAATCATGCAGGCGATGTCGTCCATGAAGCGGTCAGCTCCTGTGTGGGCGAAGGGAGGGAGGGCCAGAGCTGTGGTCTCTGCACCCCTGCCCAGTGTGTCCCCCCCCAACCTTGGCCCAGACCTACCGTACACCCAGGCCACCACCACGCACTCCCAAAATGCCTGCCACAGCAGCGTGGTGCCGCTGGCGGAGTAGTAATCGAACAGCTGGAAGACGTACATCCCACCCTGGAAGACAGAGCCAGGTGAGGGAGGACAATGGCCAGTGGTCAGAGCCCAGAAGCAGGGTCACCCCAGGGCCACTCACATCAGTCACCATGGAGAGGTCGATGACGAAACAGAGGGCACAGCAGAGGGCCACAGAGATCTCCCTTTGGAAGCGGAAGTAGTAGGAGGCTGGGAGGAGGTCCAGCAGGCCAGTGATGAAGCCTTCCACACCTACAAACTGTGGCAGGGCAGCTCAGGCCCCGCCCCGCCCCGCCCCGCGCCCCCCCCAGCCCAGCGGGAGCCTCTGCAAACCTGGCTGTCAAGCCCGAGCAGCAGCAACATGAAGAAGAACAGGGCAGCCCAGAGCGGGGCCACGGGCATCAGTGTGACAGCCCGGGGGTAGGCGATGAAGGCCAAGCCAGGCCCTGCGGGCAGAGGAATGGGATGAGGCTGGCAGCATGCACCTGCCCAGGGACACCCCATGTTTGCCTGCAACACTCGCGCTTAGTGAGTGTCCAGACGTGCCCCGGAAAGCAACCCCAGGCCCTCGGCAGAGCCCTGGTGTCTAAGACTTGTCCAACAGCCATCAAGGTTACAGGTCCCCAGGGGTGGGGGGCCAGGCGTTGGGGTGGGAGGTATGGCAGCCTGGGATAAGCATCAGGATACTGTGGCCCCCAAGGATGGATGGAAGGGCCCCCAAGCCCAGCGAGAACAGGGCTGCTCCATGCCAGCCTGTCTGGCTCAGGGGAACTTGGCTGTCACTTTTCAGCTGCCATCTGCATGTG